TAAGCAGGAAGGGGTGGAGACCTAAACTGCATGTTTATGGGAGTCCGCCCAATCCTAGGTTTGGAGGCTCTGGTAGAGTGGTGGACTGGCTCATAAATATGGGAGAGTCAGGCTGACAGTTGAGTCAGGTGGAAGATGGAGTGCTGAGGAGACTATCGGTGCCTGAGTGTGGTCCCCTAGGTCTGGGGGGGGAGGGGGGCTGGCTTCCAGGCTGAGCTCGGGCTAGCTCAAAAGGATACATTCAGCAGTCTAGCATGAATGGGATTGTGACCTGGAGCAGCAGGGAGCAAGGAGGACAGAGTGAGAACAGAAGCACTCTTTGTGATCCACAAGGGGAAAGACTGCCACAAGTGGTAAGTTTTCTAAGGACAGCGTTGGGCTCAATCCCTTATCCTTGTCGTGGGAGATCTTCCGAGAAGCCAGTAGGGCTGGTAGTGTCAGCAGGCTGTGGACCTGGGATCAGCTGTGCGGGGGGATAGAGGATATTGCTGCATGTACTTACAAGAAGCCAAGTCGATTTCTGGAGGGGCTGCTAGTTCCTCACCCATGAAGGACTGTTGCTACTGTTCTATAACGACTGATGGCTTTCAAGAAAAGAACAGTCCAGGATCTGCCTTTGTAAAAAGAAAGGAAGTTGTCTCCTCCTTCATTGATTTAAGCTGACTGAGCATCCCATAATCAATTAATAAAAAAATCAAATAAATCAAATAACAAAAAAAAAAACAAGCCTACGGACTGGTCACTGTCTCTTGGATTCAAGTCTGAGAAATACCTGTTACCTGGCTGTGCAGAGAGAGCTTAGGGGTACCTACAACACAGTGGCCCTCACCAGGGTAGCTCTACAGATGAATTATCAATATAGCCATGGATTATGGTGAATTACCATTTACTTCTAAAACTTCAATCCAGCCCCTAGGCATTGAAAATATTTATATGGGGGCATACTCCTTTATGCCATATCCCTCTCTGTGCTATCTTTTTTCCCTTGCAGAACATGCCCTGTGCACTGATGCTGCTCATTATTTAGGAGTTCCATGTGGTAGGGCTGCTTTTGGTGGTGTCAGGGTACTGCTAGAGTCATGCCATTTGATGAAAATCTGATGCAATGGCAAGTGAGGAAGGCAGGTTGGCTTCCAGTGTTAGTTCTTGGAAGCAATGCACAGAAAATTGGAGTGGAAGCATCCACATCTGTGGTGTCACATTCGTGACTTTTTAGCCAGAGATGGTGAGGGTGACCTCTTGCACAATTCCTGTCCAAGCACACTTGGTGGACTGCTAGGGCAGCGGAAGGGAGCAGATGCCAGGAAGTTGGCTCAGCGAACTTGAACTTGGAGATGTTGAGGTAGGATAAGCAGAAGCAAAGAATCAGATCACAAGCCAAGTTTGGTAAGAGCCAGGCAGGTAGGTACAGAATTCTGCTCAGAATCCAGGTCAGAGAAAGGCAGGGGTTGGCAATACTGACTGGCAGCGAGGTACAAAATCAGCCTGCAGAATCTTGACGAAAGTCTAGACCAGGGATAGTAGCACTAACCAGTAGCTGATATAAAAGACAAATGGTACTAAAGAGAAGTGTCGGATGTAGCAAGATCAGCAGGCTTTCAGAAGTACAATATACAGGAACTAGAGCTGAAGACAATCCAGTAATGAGGCTCGGCAGACCTCAGGTTTAAATATGCTGCCGGGTGCAAGGATCTGTGGGCACAGCTGTGCAGGCATGTGTGCGCCATGGAGTGTTCATGAACATGTGTACGTGTATTCTTGTCCTTCCATGTCTTCTTAAACTCCTATGCTCATGTCACTGCGCATGCACACAAAATGAGCACGTGCTGCATGAGGTTTCTGACGTGGGCTTTGGAAAGACTGAATTCAACTGGAGGCCACCTACCCAAAGGAGGATTTGACAGCCATTTAGTGGTTGACCTGGGTGGATTTCAAAGTGGCAAATCTGCAAGCCTTGAGAATCCTTGAGTAGGCCAATGAACTGATGAATGAGGCAATTTTGGGGACATTTTCGGGAATGTGTTGTACACTTGGGTTGGATCACAAGGACAGCAAATTGAGGAGATAAATGATGATGTGTCCCCTGAAGACAGTGGCGCTGATGTATTGAAATGCCTAAGAGTAACTAAAAAGGGTTGAAATTCTGAAATATGGTGTTATACTCTTCTATCATACAAATGAGTGCTAAAGCTCTGGAAGGAGGTCCTGCTACTGGCCTTTGCAAGGACTCAAGACAAGCCTTTAATAAAGGTTATCTGTACTAATTGATGCTGTTGATATTTTGTGTTTATTATGTTTATTATCATTTGATGAATCTCTTTTAAGAATTTTACTCAGCAGGGTAACTATAGCTGTAGACAAGGCTTTTTTTCTCAAAAAATAGGTGCAGGAACTCTCCCCTTCTGAGTCACTTGTCTCCACCCCCTCCAAGCACCATCACTTGGTTCCATTCCCTACCCACCTCCCAGTACCTCTGCTTTTAGAGAATACAGAGCCAAGTATAATTTTGTGGTGCTAAATAATTTGTATGAAATTTGTTATTGATAACAAGAAAGGAGAAAAAAAGATCCCCCACAGCCAGCAGCAATAGACCCCTCTAGCAACAATGGGTCCCCAAAACAAAATACCACCCCAGCAACAATAGACCCCTGGCAGCTACAACCGATCTCTAGCCACTTGCCCTCCTGAGGATTTACCCACCTTCCTGACCATGCCATTTTTTGCGTTACGGCACTGAGTTACTTTACCTGACAATGCAATGCTGCACTCAAATGGAATTTAAGTCCTTTTTTTAACCACAAATTGAGCTTTCTTTCAATGGTATTTGATCGCCTGTGTTTTTTTTGCGTTATAAAAAAAAGACTGACAATTTTGAGAAAAAAAATTTTTTTTGACTTTTGCTATTAAACACGCCCAGTAAAAAATTTAAAAATCAAATTTCGTCATAAATTTACGCCAAAATGTATTCTGCTACATGTCTTTGCTAAAACAAACTCCCAATACGTGTAAATTAATTGATTTACATGAAAGTTATAGCGTTTACAATTGGCAGTATATATATTGGGATTTTATTATTATTATTTTTCATTTTTACTACCAATAGCGGCAATCAGTGACTTATAGCGGGACTGCGATGGACATTCTGACATTGGGGGGAACTAACTTGGTGTCACTGACATCCCCAGTGACACCAATACAGCAGTGATCAGTGCTAAAAAAAAAAGCACTGACACTGTACTAATGGCACTGGGAGGGAAGTGGTTAACATGGGGGGTGATCAAAGGGTTAACTGTGTGCAGGGAGTGTTTTACTAGGGGTGTGTGTGTATTATTCACTGTAATCACATTGCTGTGGATGGCTGTGCTGTGCACAGCCATCCACAGTAGTGTGCCCCAGCTGACAGATAGAACTGTTAGTAAACAAAACAGTTCTCCTCTCTGTCGGAGACTCCTCAGAAATCACCGGGCGCCTGCACCGGTGATTGACAGCTGCAGCCGCGAATGGTGGCGTGGGTAGGGCGCATGTGCCCCCTACCCAGAAATGCAAAATCACGTATATATACGTGATTTTGCGCACCGCTGCAGCCCTGTAGCAGTATTTTTGCTATAGGGTGGTCGGCAAGCAGCTAGGCATCCAGCATAAATATACTCTCCAGCAGCCAGCAACAATAGACCCCTCCCTCAACAGTAACATAAGTAGGAGTCCAGCACTGGCATGGTATGAAATAAAATTATTATTCTTTATTTTTGATCAATCAAGACATAAAAAGAATCCTAAACAAAAAGCATGCGTTTCAGAAGCACCTGGATCCTTGACACATGACCATCAGTATGCATCAATTGACGATCTGAAGTTGAATGCAGTAGGACAGCATATATGTTCTACAGTAACAGTTGTTGTGAGTGAGATGGAGCACACATAGTGTCAGTTAGTGTCAGATTGCCCGCCACACTAGCACAGTCACACTATAAGTCACTGATTGCGCCATTACTAGTAAAAATGAAAAAAAAATCCAGCATATTTACCTATAAACCTTCTCGCAAACCAATTAATATACACTTATTGGGATTTTTTTTTACCAAAGACATAGCAGAATACATTATGGCCTAAATGTATGAAGACATTTTTTTTTCTATTGGATATGTTTTATAGTAAAAATAATTTTTTAACCTCAGCAGTGCCACAGGCTGATAGCTTCCATGCCATGCCGCATTGAGGCAGTAATTGCTGCAAAAGGGGCCCAAACCAAGTACTGAGTACATATGCATGCTTATACTTTTCAGAGGTCCGATATTGTTCTATGTACAATCCTTGTTTTATTGATTGCATGTAATATTCTCATTTTTCTGAGATTGTGGATTTGGGGTTTTCATGAGCTGTAAGCTATAATCATCACAATTATGACAAATCACGGCTTGAACTATCTTGCTTTGCATGTAATGAGTCTATCTCATATAATAGTTTCACCTTTTAAGTTGCATTACTGAAATAAATGAACTTTTGCACGATATTCTAATTTTTAGAGTTTCACCTGTATAAAATATATTATTTTTTAATTTTAAGTGGCTAAACAGCTGCAACATTTTTAGTTATGCAATGCCCTCTAGTGGAGATCTGTAGAACCAGTGTTGAATTATCACTGTCATACAAATGTCAGGTTGTGAACCCGGGGAGTTTCCTTTTTTATTGTGAACCACAGCAATACAAAGTGCTGCCTGGTGCTTGAACTTCTATACATATGCACTAAAATATGCATGGATAGCTTTGCACACATCATGTAGTTTTATTCATATATTTAAAAATGCTAACAATGTTTGTCTCCCTCAAATTATAAAAATAGTTTATCTAGTTGGTACCCCAAAGTCTGGAAAATTTTGGAGGCAACCTTGGGTACCAAAGGAAAAGAATGAGGAGGTGTGCTGCAGCAAATTGTGGGTTTGGCAAAACTGCACTAAAAAGCGGCTTAAAGGATAACTTCACCTTTGGGAACATGTTACATGTTCCACCCAGGAGCGAACTGACCATTTGGAAACTCAGGCACTGCCCGAGGGCCTGGGGTCAGAAGGGGGCCCCATGAGATGCCCCTGGTACCGTTTTTCATAGGCTTTTTTGAGTTTGGGCAAGGACACAGGGGCCCTATGATCCCTTATTGCCCGGGGGCCCCATGAGTTGTCAGTCCGCCCCTGGTTCCTACTGTTTTTAGGGTGGAACATGTAACATGTTCCCACTGCTGCAGCCGCTGCCTTATCCCCCCTCTCTGTGACAGCAGTATGGAGAGAAGTTCCCCATACTAGCTGTCACTTTTTAAAAAACAGGGCAGCCATAAGCCTTTGTGTAGAGTGCAGGTTCCAAGAGTATGTATTGCATAACATGCAGGGGTCAGAGGTGTGTAAAGCACAGAGTGCAGAGGCTGTGGTTGGGAGAAGAAGCAAAAGGAAATCAGTCAGCGAAAATAGACTGTGTGGGAGCCTTGCAGCTCAGCTGAGGACTGTGGGGCAGTGCAGAACAATTGTGAGTGGGCATGGGTCAGGGTTGCTGCTTACTTAGGGATTGGCCTGTGAGAGAAGTGCCCAAAAGCAGACTGCAAATCTGAGCAGTCTTAAGCAGGAAGCAAGTGATGTCACAGCACAGAACTGCAGATCACTCTGTCTGGACAGCTGCTGCCTTGTGTTACATGGGTGTGTTCAGGTTGGACCCCCTAAACCCCCCTTATATCTACACTTCTGGTAGTCTGTATGTGTATCAATCACACCTTGAACGGCCTGATATCCATGATATTGACATTTGCATGCTCAAGTGCTGCTGTAATCATCTGGCATCACATATAAGTAATAATATTGACTTAAAGTGTCTGTATTGCCAAAATTTTTTTTATTTAGTTTTGAATAGAATACGGAGAGGTTAGAACAGTTGTTTTTCCATATTGGGGAAATTTCTCTTCTTTTCCTGTCCCAATGGTCAATAGTAGAAATAGAGGGGAAAATCTCCCCGATTCTGGAAACAGGCGATAATAAAAATCCCTCATTCTATGCCCTCCCCCCCAAAAAAAAACTTTGAAATCAACAGTGGCTCCCATATTATTCTTCTTTGTAGCCCTACCCCCAAAGGAGACGCTGTAACTTCATCGGCTCTTTCCCAGAACTAGTGGAGAGGCAGCCAGGCATACAGCAACAGTGTATTCATTTTTGGCTCAGTAATTAATCTGGAGGATGTCTTTTTAGGAAAATAGATCAACTGTTGGAGCAATTGTTAGAAAATGGAAGAGGCTAAAGACGACTGTCAGTCTCCCTCGGACTGGGGCTCCATGCAAGAGCTCACCTCGTGGGGTATCACTGATGATAAGAAAGGTGAGGAATCAGCCCAGAACTACAACAGAGGAGCTGGCCAATGACATGAAGAGAGCTAGGACCACAGTTTCAAAGGTAACTGTTGGTAGAACACTACGCCGTCATGGTTTCAAATCATGCATTGCACGGAAGGTTCCCCTGCTCAAGTCATCACATGTCCAGGCCCGTCTTAATTTGCCAATGACCATCTGGACGATCCAGAGGAGGCATGGGGAGAAAGTCATGTGGTCAGATGAGACAAAAAAGAACTTTTTGGTCTAAACTTCACTTGTGTTTGGAGGAAAAAGAAGGATGAGTTGCATCCCAAGAACACCATCCCTATTGTGAAGCATGGGGGTGGTAACATCATGCTTTGGGGGTGCTTTTCTGCGAAGGGGACAGGACGACTGCACTGTATTAAGGAACGGATGAATGGGGGGCCATTTATTGTGAGATTTTGAGCAACAACCTCCTTCCCTCAGTCAGAGCATTGAAGATGGGTCATGGCTGGGTCTTCCAACATGACAACGACCCGAAGCACATAGCCAGGATAACCAAGGAGTGGCTCCGTAAAAAGCATATCAAGATTCTGGAGTGGCCTAGCCAGTCTCCAGGCCTAAATCCAATAGAACATCTTTGGAGGGAGCTGAAACTCCGTGTTGCTCAGCGACAACCCTGAAACCTGACAGATCTAGAGGAGATCTGTGTGGAGGAGTGGGCCAAAATCCCTGTTGCAGTGTGTGCAAACCTGGTCAAGAACTACAGGAAACGTTTGACCTCTGTAATTGCAAACAAAGGCTTCTGTACCAAATATTAACACTGATTTTCTCAGGTGCTCAAATACTTATGTTCAGCAGTGCAAGACAAATAAATTCTTTAAAAATCATACAATGTGATTTCCTGAATTTTTTTTTTTTATTTTGTCTCTGAGGGGAATGCACCTACAATGTGAATTTCAGACCCCTCCATGATTTCTAAGTGGGAGAACTTGCAAAATCGCAGGGTGTTCAAATACTTCTGTTCCTCACTGTATATGCTGCAATCTGTCAATAAACCTAACGTAGCAGTGTTTTTTTTTTCTGATTTCCCCATAATAGTTTTGATACCTGTTAATTCTACCAATAGATCAGCTGATTTTCCACTACCTTTAACAGGGTTGTCTTAGATGGACAGGTAGTGTTAGATGACTTTAAGGAAGGAATAAACAAATTAAAGTCCAGCTCTAATTAAAAATTCATTAAACAGTTACAGCATTATTTTTTTCTTTTACAAACAGAGGCTTAAACCAAATTTATAAAGGCTTAAGGGAGTATTTATTAAAAAAAAAAAAAATATTGCGTAGCTGTCATCCATCAAACTGGCGTATAAATTCTGTGTGAATGGGGAAAAGCAAAATATTCTCAGGAGATATTGCCTGCAAAGCGATTGTTATTTATTGAAAAAAAGTATGAAAAGGAGAAATATTGCATTATGGCCATTAGAAGGCGACAAGTATCATAAAAAATAAGCTTGCTCAGCACCATCTAGTGGCCGTAATGCAATATTTTTTATGAATAACTGAACAGCACAGAGTATAGTCTGAGAACTTTCGATTTTGCTCTATTTGCAGAAAATGAATTTACATGCAGTTTCTATGGACAAAAAGCTATGCATTTCTAATATAGAAAACAGTTACATACATAGCTGCATTGTTAGGCTGAAAAAAGACACAAGTCCAACTATTTCAAGTAATAGGAAAAAAAAACCTATACAGTATAATAGAAAATCTCCATATTCACAATTCTATAATTCACGGTTGATCCAGAAGAAGGCAAAACACCCAATTAAACATGATTCAATTTGATCCAGTGGGGGGAAAATAAGGGCTCATGTACACGGGGCGTTTGGAAAACTCTTCTGAACGATGGAAAACTGCTGGAAAACGTAGGTTAAAAAATGTCAGCTTAGCTGTGTTTGCATACCGCGTTTATGTGCATTTGCGTTTAGAAGCGTTTTTAAAAGGTAACCTCAGGAGACCTTGCCAAATGCCCAGAATGCACTAAAAAATAGTAAAAAATTAACTATTTCAGATATTTTGAGAGAAATAGAGAGAGCAGAAGCAGAGAGAGCGGTATGTGTTGAGATGACCTGTCTTTTCTGGTTGTATTCACTATGGATCCCATCATGAGCATAATGCGGCATGTTCTACCATTTTTTCCTTCACATCGCAAAACCTGGAACTGACTGCGCTGGTGTACTGGGTGCATTTGAATACATGGGAAACACTTTGCATGCACATCTGATGATGAAAAAAGGCTCTGGACAGCATCTGGACATGGAACAGTTAAAAAATGCTTCTCAACACAAACGCTTATAAACGCGGTTAACTGCATTTACAAGCATTTACACGCGTTTACAAGCTTTTGGCATTTGAAACGCCGATAAAATCTACTCCTGAACGCAAGTTTGGTGCGTTAAAAAAGCGACTGTAAACTCAACTGCTTGTAAAGGACTGTAAATGACATAGTGCACATGGACACATAGGAAAACATTAGGGGGTGTTCAGGGGCTGCTGAAAAAAACGCTGAACAGCTCCTGAACATCAGTTTAGCAGCTGCAGTGTACATGAGCCCTAATCCTTCCTGATACCCCAGGAGGCAATTTAATATTCCCTGGATCAACTACCCCTGATGGTATTACCCAAAAATGTTAGCATCTAGTTATATTTTGTGCATTTAGGAATGTATCTAGCTCTTTTTTTTAAAACATTCTACTGAGCTGGTCAGAACTAGCTCCTGAGGGAAGCCTGTTCCATATTTTTACAGCTCTTACTGTGAAGAAGCCTTTCCATATGTGGAGATTAAATCTCTTCTCCTTCAGACTTAAAGAGTACCCCCTTGTCTTTTGTAATGACCTGAAAGGAGAAAACTCAACATCACATTCACTATATGCACCACCTACGTATGGTGTACCTATATATACCTACATATATGGGCAGCACAGTGGCTAAATGGTTAGCACTTCCACCTGGCAGTACTAGGGTTGTTGGTTCAAATCCCAACCACAGCACCACCTGCCTGGAGTTTGCATGTTCTCCCTGTGCCTTTGTGGGTTTCCTCCGGGTACTCCAGTTTCCTCCTACACTCCAAACACACGCTGGTAGGTGAATTGGCTCCTGTCTAAAATTGTCCCTAGTATGTGTATGTATGAATGTGAGTTTGGGACCTTAGATTGTACACCCCTTGAGGGTTAGGGACTGATGTGAACAATATATATGTAAAGTACTGTGTAAATTGACAGCGCTATATACAGTATCTCAGAGAAGTGAGTACACTGCTCATATTTTTGTAAATATTAAATAATAAAATATTAACAAAAATGTGAGGGGTGTACTCACTTCTCTGAGATACTATAAGTACCTGTAATAAAATATAGATACCTATACATGTTGATCATATCCCCTTTAACCACTTGCCGCCCTGCCACTGCATATATACGTGTGCAGGGCGGCACTGGGGCGCAAAAGCACGTTTCAAAACGGGCTCCGCGCTCCCGACGTTTTCGCCGGCAGGGGGCGCACGCGCACGCTCCCACCGACCCGCGGGTGACACCATTTGATCCCGGAGGGATCAATCATTCGATTTCAGCCAGTGATGTCTGTCTGAAATCAGATGATTGGTCCCTGTCCTATCCTGTCCTGTGTTGACATTTACACAGGACAGGATATGATGTCATTCTTCTCTGCCTGGACACATTCCGTTCCAGACAGAGAAGAAGACATACAAACAGTGAGTAAAATAGCACATACCCACAGTTAGAACACTCTAGGACACATTTAACCCCCTGATCGCCCCCCCCCCCCCCAGTTAACCCCTTCACTGCCCTGTCACCAGTGTCACTGATCAGTGAACCGATTTTTACTGATCACTGTATCAGTGTCGCTGGCGACTTCTGATAGTGTTAGCGCCCCTCCCAGATAGCGCCAGTTTGCCCGCTAGTACACCATTAATCCCATTTAACCCCTTAATCTCCCCCCCCAGTTAACCCCTTCACTGCCCTGTCACCAGTGTCACTGATCAGTGAACCGATTTTTACTGATCACTGTATCAGTGTTGCTGGCGACTTCCGATAGTGTTAGCGCCCCTCCCAGATAGCGCTAGATTGCCCGCTAATACACCAGTAATCCCGTCTAACCCCTTGATCGCCCCCCCCCCAAGTTAACCCCTTCACTGCCCTGTCACCGGTGTCATTGATCAGTGAACAGATTTTTACTGATCACCGTATCAGTGTCGCTGGCGACTTCTAATAGTGTTAGCGCCCCTCCCAGATAGCTCCAGTTTGCCTGCTAGTACACCATTAATCCCATTTAACCCCTTAATCTCTCCCCCCCCCAGTTAACCCCTTCACTGCCCTGTCACCAGTGTCACTGATCAGTGAACCGATTTTTACTGATCACTGTATCAGTGTTGCTGGCGACTTCCGATAGTGTTAGCGCCCCTCCCAGATAGCGCTAGATTGCCCGCTAATACACCAGTAATCCCGTCTAACCCCTTGATCGCCCCCCCAAGTTAACCCCTTCACTGCCCTGTCACCGGTGTCATTGATCAGTGAACAGATTTTTACTGATCACTGTATCAGTGTCGCTGGCAACTTCCAATAGTGTTAGTGCCCCTCCCAGATAGCGCCAGTTTGCCCGCCAGTACACCAGTACCCACATACCCACAGTTAGAACACTCTAGGACACATTTAACCCCCCGATCGCCTCCCCCAGTTAACCCCTTCACTGCCCTGTCACCAGTGTCACTGATCAGTGAACCGATTTTTACTGATCACTGTATCAGTGTCGCTGGCGACTTCTGATAGTGTTAGCGCCCCTCCCAGATAGCGCCAGTTTGCCCGCTAGTACACCATTAATCCCATTTAACCCCTTGATCTCCCCCCCCCCAGATTTTTACTGATCACTGTATCAGTGTCGCTGGCAACTTCCAATAGTGTTAGCGCCCCTCCCAGATAGCGCCAGTTTGCCCGCCAGTACACCAGTAATCCCATTTAACCCCTTGATCCCCCCCACAGTTAACCCCTTCACTGCCCTATCACCAGTGTCATTGATTACAGTGAACAGATTTTTACTGATCACTGTATTAGTGTCACTTGTGACTTCTGATAGTGTTAGCGCCCCTCCCAGTTTGCCCGCTAATGCATGGGATTTTTTTTACCAAAAACATGTAGCAGAATACATTTTGGCTTAAATTTATGACTAACTTTGAGTTTCCGATATATTTTTTATAGCTGAAAGTAGAAAATATTGTTTTTTTTTTTCAAAATTTTTGTGTTTTTTTTGTTTATAGCGCAAAAAATAAAAAGCACATAGGTGATAAAATACCACCAAAAGAAAGCTCTATTTGTGTGAAAAAAAGGCCGTAAATTTCGTTTGGGTACAGCATTGCATGATCGCGCAATTATCATTTGAATTAGTGCAGCGCCAAACAGCAAAAAAAGGCCTGGCCATTAAGGGGGGTAAATCCTCAGGAGATCAAGTGGTTAATCGCCTCTTCCCAAGAAAGAATAAATTCAATTCTGCTAAGTTTTTCTCATAACTGAGCTCCTTCATGTCTCTTGTCAATTTGGTTGCTCTTCTCTGCACTTTGAAATAAGAGGATAAAAAAGGAATTTACTGAATACTATTATTGTGGCTATTAAACCAATACAGTTAGCAGAATGCAATATTTTTTACTGTAGTGGTCTTTTATTATTGGAGCTAAAGTCATCGATTTTAAAGTACAATGTTTTTTGTGGTCCCTTCTTACCGTATTATCCAATTACACATTCAATTACATGTCAGGACATATAGTAACGTTTTAATAAGTTCCCTATAATCTTCATCCAAAATACATTTTTTTTCAATGAAGTGGTCTGTCCGCAGTGCAGATCATTACAGCCCCCTGTCACTCTGACAATGAGACTTTGCCGCACTCAACCCACAATGGAAATATGTGTGTTCTGAATGGGTCAGCTAGATACGAGAACACACATACCTCTTTTTAATGGACTTTGATTCTGACTTTGATTTTAACCTCCCTAGTGGTATGATTATGTCCATATTTCTGTGCTGAAAGCGGTACATTTTTTTGCATGGAAATATGTATTTTTTTATTGTAGGCCTGTAATTTTTAGGAATAACTCACTGAAATCTGTCCAAACAAGAGTCTAGTAAACATCCCGGGTAGGATAAAATTTGAAACACGAAATCATAAATTATAATTAGAGATGAGCGAAGTATTCAAAAATTCGATTCGGCTGATTCGGCGAATTCGCGGAATAAATTTGATTCGAGGCGAATGTATTCGCTGCGAATTTAACGTATAAAAAGGGTGTTTCTAGGCTTCAGAGAGCCTTTTTATATTAGTGCAGAAACACTGTACCTTAATTTAAATGCCCTTGGAGTCTGCTGGGGAAGAGAAATAATACTGTCAGTCAGTATGACATGCAGATGAGTGCCGTCGATCTTAGAATCACTTCACTCATTTGGGCAGTCACGGGGCCAAAACCAGAGTGTGGAGCCACAGTGTGGCGGTGGAGGCAGCAGCAATGGGAGGCCATACAGCACCCTATGACAAAATGGAACCCACCAGCAGTGTGAGGAGACCTGAAAGTGGCACATGGCAGAGTGTGGCGATGGAGACAGCAGCAATGGGAGGCCGTACAGGGACCCATGACACACTCTGGACCTGGCAGCAGCATGAGGAGGCGGTACAGGGGCCCATGACAGATTACGGGGCCTGGCAGCAGCATGAGGAGTCGGTACGGGGGCCCATGGCAGATTACGGCCTGGCAGCAGCAATGGGAGGCCCGTAATCTGCCAGCACCCTATGACAAAATGGAACCCACCAGCAGTGTGAGGAGACCTGAAAGTGGCACATGGCAGAGTGTGGCGATGGAGACAGCAGCAATGGGAGGCCGTACAGGGACCCATGACACACTCTGGACCTGGCAGCAGCATGAGGAGTGGCGGTACAGGGGCCCATGACAGATTACGGGCCTGGCAGCAGCATGAGGAGTCGGTACGGGGGCCCATGGCAGATTACGGGCCTGGCAGCAGCAATGTTAGGCCCGTAATCTGCCAGCACCCTATGACAAAATGGAACCCACCAGCAGTGTGAGGAGACCTGAAAGTGGCACATGGCAGAGTGTGGCGATGGAGACAGCAGCAATGGGAGGCCGTACAGGGACCCATGACACACTCTGGACCTGGCAGCAGCATGAGGAGGCGGTACAGGGGCCCATGACAGATTACGGGCCTGCAGCAGCAGCATGAGGAGTCGGTTACGGGGGCCCATGGCAGATTACGGGCCTGGCAGCAGCAATGGGAGGCCCGTAATCTGCCAGCACCCTATGACAAAAATGGAACCCACCAAGCAGTGTGAGGAGACCTGAAAGTGGCACATGGCAGAGTGTGGCGATGGAGACAGCAGCAATGGGAGGCCGTACAGGGACCCATGACACACTCTGGACCTGGCAGCAGCAAGAGGAGGCGGTAACAGGGGCCCATGGCAGAGTGGCGAAGCGTAAGCAGCTTAAATTGAAGGCCATACAGAGGCCTATGTTAAAAATAATAACATGTTTGGGGCATGATTCATGGCGGATTTAGTCAGTTGTGTCAGGAACTGGTGGTTTGAAATCCAGACTAATCCACGCCTGATTCATTTTCACAAACGTGAGTCTCTCCACACTTTGGGTGGACAGTCGTGTCCTCCGCGGAGTTACAATACCTCCTGCCGCACTAAACACGCGCTCCGATGCCACGCTACTGGCCGGGCATGACAGCCTTTCAAGGGCAAATTCAGCTAGTTGGGGCCAAAGGTCAAGTTTCGTTGCCCAGTAGTCAAGGGGATTGTCTACCTCGGTTGGCAGGGTGCTGTCCAAGTAGGCCCAAGCCTGTTGTTTGAGGTCCTGCTCCAGGTCCACCTGATGCTGCTGCTGCTGCGGCTGTGGCTGGTTAGTAGTTTCCTCACTGCGCTGGTGAAGAAAGCTACTCATCATCGACTGCAGACTGAGGCAGCCGCTGCTGGTGGAGCTGCCACTGCTCCTACCACCCCACCCCCCCCCTGCTGCCATGGCAGCGGAACGCGAGCGCACAGGGCCCACAGTGTCTGAGGATGGACGTTGGCGCAGAAAGGCAGAGACCAACTGACTACATAGGTGGTTTTTATAGTACGTTATTTTGGCCTCCCTCTCAGCAGGTGTGAAAAAGGACACCATTTTTGAACGGTAGCGAGGGTCCAACAAGGTGGACAGCCAAAAGTCATCCCTCTGTCTGATGGTTATTATTCGGCTGTCGCTACGCAAGCAAACCGAGCAGCTATGGGCCATTTGTGCCAAGGAATGCGAGGGACTCCCTGCCTCCATCTCCACAGCATACTGCCACGGTGCGTCTGGGTCCTCTGTCTCCTCCTCTTCCTCTACCAGATGCTCCTGCTCCTCCACTCCTGTCCGCTGAGTGGAAAAACCACCCATTTCACTCAATAATTCCTGAGCACCAATGTCCTCCTCTACCTCCTCCTCTTCTTCCTGTCCTGCCCCCACAGGGGTCATGTGGCGTTGAGATCTGTGCGCCACGTCTACCGCACCCTGACCAGCCATTGTTAACAGCATTTGTTCCAGGACGTGCAACAGAGGAATGACGTCGTTCATCCCATAGTCCTGCCGACTCACGAATAGCGTGGCCTCCTCAAAGGGCCTGAGCAAGCGGCAGGTGTCACGCATGAGCTGCCAATGGCTGACATCTAAGTTACACAGGGGGAGTACCTTTATCCGCTTGTAACATCAGGAAATCGGTGGGATGGCCTTTCGCTGTTCGTAAAGGCGGTCTAACATATGTAGGGTTGAATTCCACCTTGTTGCAACGTCGCAGATCAGGCGATGCTGTGGAATTCCGTTCTGCCGCTGCAGCTCAAGGAGGGTGTGCTTTGCGGTGTAGGAATGGCTGAAATGCATGCAAAGTTTACGTGACATTTTAAGGATGTCTTGCAGTGGGATGGTGGATTTTAGGAACCGCTTGACAACCAGATTGAACACGTGAGCCATGCATGGCGCATGGCACAACCTTCCTTGACGCAGAGCAGACACCATGTTCTTTCCGTTGTCGGTCAACATGGTTCCGATTTTCAGTTTGCGCGGAGACAGCCATCTGTCGATTTCTCTGTTCATTACACTCAGAAGTTCCTCCCCTGTGTGACTACGTTCGCCAAGGCATACCAGGTGCAGCACAGTGTGACACCGTTGCGCCCTGCACATGTGATATGCCGGTCGGGTAATGGGACTTGGCACGGGGGGGGGGGGGGTGGCGGCTGAGGACACGGCGGAAGAAGAGGTGCTAGAGGCGGACATCTTTGCTGGACCAAGGACGTGCAAACGTGGAGGCAAAAGCGGCGTGACCTGTCCAAGTTGCTGGTGTGGCTGTGCCGGCACCACGTTCACCCAGTGGGCCGTAAATGACATGTACTGTCCCTGACGTAGTTACAGCTCCATACGTCGGCGCTGCCGTGCACTTTGGCAGAGACCGACATGCTCAAAGACTGGTCCACCATCTCTTCTACACGTGAATGCAGGGCTGGCACTGCCTTTTTGGGGAAGAAATGCCGGCTTGGCACTCTCCACCGCGGCGCGGCACAAGCCATCATTTCTCGGAAAGGTGCTGAGTCCACCACTTGGAAAGGGAGGGACTGCAGCACCAGCAACTTGGACAGGAGGATGTTCAGCTTCTGCACCGTCGGGTGCGTGCTCGCAAAATGTTGTCTCTTGGAAACGGATTCCAAGAAAGACTGCTGACGGAATCCGTGAAGAGGAGTAGCAGGAGAAGGAGCATCTGTACGAGTGGAAGATGCCAACGAGCGACAACTCCCCTCAGCAGAGGTGTTTGGAGCCTTGACTGGCTGATAGAGGGCGATTGACGTCGGGTGACGGAGCAAGTAACGGAGCGGGTGATGGAGCGGGGGCTGGGGCAGGCAGAACCGCCGTATCTTTATCACGGTTTTCCCAGGCCACCGAATGGCGACGCTGCATATGCTGACGCAACGCTGTAGTCCCAACATGGGCCCCCTGGCCACGCTTGACTTTCTGGCCACATAGTCGACATAAGGCTACGTTTACTTCCTCGGGCGGCTTGACGAAAAATTGCCACACCGCCGAGTAGGAAACTTTGCCCCCCGCTACTCCTCACTGGCTGACTGCTACTTCCTCCGTGCACAGCGGCACCACTACTGGCCGTGGTGGTAGGGCTGCAGTGGAGCTGGTGCTCTACTCCGTGGCCGTTTGCCTCCACTGACACTGCTGCGACCCTGCTGCCTCCTGGGCAACCCACCGACTGTTTTGCTCACTGCCAAGCTGGCACCCTCTTCTCCTGATGATGCGGAAGCAATAGCCTGATGACGACGAGGCTGCCAAGTGCGATCAGCCTCATCATCATCAATTAGGGTCTCCTCCTCACTACTAGCCCCCTCGGCTGCGTGTGGGTCAGGAGACAGACCTGTCTCTAGACCGGCTACTGAGCCACTCTCCTCGCCAGTACTTCTTCGCCTGGCTGCTGAAGAGGCGGATGTCTCCCCCCGTTCCTGACCGCCCTCTGTTAGCTCTTCCTCACTGTACAGTGGGGCTGAGCCCACAGCATGCGATACTTCGCTTGGTGAGGGAACACCAAAGGACAGGGGCAGGTAGAGGACACGTGATTTCAGTGGGCTTGCTCCCGGGCCATGCCAACTAACGGTTGTGTCTGACGTACCCACCGACCGTTGGCTGTAGGTGTCAGAGGTGACCTGGGAAGAGGAAAATGACCGAGCCAACCAATCGATGACGGCAGGGTTGTCGGTGGAGACACGACCGCTGGATGACACCGGGAGCGCTGGCCTCTGGCTGCGACTAGTGCTGCCTCGATCCCTTCCTCTGCTGCCACGTCTGCTCGCTCCTGAAACATTGCCTCCTCTGCCACTCCTCTGCGTGTTGTCTGACATACTCTTTAATTCAACGATTCTGTGTCCCTGAGTAACGATTCTGTGTCCCTGAGTAACAATTCTGTGTCCCTGAGTAACAATTCTGTGTCCCTCAGTAACGATTCTGTGTCCCTCAGTAACAATTCTGTGTCCCTGAGTAACAATTCTGTGTCTGTCCCTGAGTAACAATTCTGTGTCCCTGAGTAACAATTCTGTGTCTGTCCCTGAGTAACAATTCTGTGTCCCTGAGTAACAATTCTGTGTCCCTGAGTAACAATTCTGTGTCTGTCCCTGAGTAACAATTCTGTGTCTGTCCCTGAGTAACAATTCTGTGTCCCTGAGTAACAATTCTGTGTCCTGAGTAACAATTCTGTGTCCCTCAGTAACGATTCTGTGTCCCTGAGTAACAATTCTGTGTCCCTGAGTAACAATTCTGTGTCCCTGAGTAACGATTCTGTGTCCCTCAGTAACAATTCTGTGTCCCTGAGTAACAATTCTGTGTCCCTGAGTAACAATTCTGTGTCTGTCCCTGAGTAACAATTCTGTGTCCCTGAGTAACAATTCTGTGTCTGTCCCTGAGTAACAATTCTGTGTCCCTGAGTAACAATTCTGTGTCCCTGAGTAACGATTCTGTGTCCCTAAGTAACGATTCTGTGGCCCTAAAGTCTCTGTGGCCCTAACTCTGTCCCTAATACAGAGAGGTCTGTCTCTCTTGAATGACCGGAGGCTAATGGAGAATTCTAAGATGGCCGCAATTTATAGCTCCACCATTACACAGTGCTGGCTGGCTGCTGATTGGCTAATGCGATCACATGTCATGAATGAATGCATTATGGGTCAGCGCGCCTTGTCTGCGCGCCTTCCCAGAGATCCCCGCTCCGTCGCCACACATGTCGCCGCCATTTTTGGAAAAATTTGATTCGTGCATCCGAAGTCTTCTAATTTTCGGATTCGGCGCGAATCTAATTTTTCCTAATCTTCGAAACGAATTCCACTTCGTCATGTTCGATTCGCTCATCTCTAATTATAATATAATAAATAATCATAAAAAATAATAATATAATAATAATAAATTTAATTCAATAATATCAAACCAAAACACTGAAATTTGAAATATAGCGCCAAGTTCGCACATCGCTGAGCAAAATTGCAGAATCGTTTTCAGTGTCTGATGACGAATTTCCCCACGAATCATTATCACTCAATTCTGCAAGTGGTTCTGATTTACTATCACTGTTCTCTAGCTGGTCTAAAACCGCTTTTGACATAAAGAGACGCTTTTTGGACGCCATGGACTTTTCTAAGTTTCTATGCAGAAAGAACAGTAAAAATGCAGGCAGGGCACAGGACAAAGCAGTAGGGACAAAATGTATGTGAAATGCTTTGAAACAGTAATGTTTTACTATGTCGTATTAGTTTATTAGAAAATGGCAGTTTCTAAAATTTTTTAATTTGCCGCCAATCCGGCCCCCGTACGTCCCGACGCTCGCAGGGGCCAGAACACGGAAGCCGGATGCAGGCATCAGCTGGGGGAGATGGCCGGGGACGCTGCAGTGGACACATCGTGGGAGCGAAGGACAAGGTAAGCGCTGTAGGGAATCCCTGAGCAACGCCACATGGTAAGCCCGAGTGTAGCTCGGGGTTACCGCTTGTGGTGTTGAAATTTTAGCCCGAGCTACACTCGGGAATACCGCCGGGGAGGTTAAGTATAATAAACATCGTCTAAGGCTCCATGTAAACGGGACGTTTGAAAAACTCTTCTGAACGATGAAAACTGACTGTTGGAAAACGTAGGTTAAAAACGTCTGTTTATCCGAGTTTATGTGCATTTGCATTTAAAAGCGTTTTTTTTTTTTTTTTAAGATAACCTCAGGAGACATTCCAAAATGCCCAGAATGCAGTGAAAAACAGTAAAAAATTAACTATTTCAGACATTTTGAGAGGAATAGAGAGAGCAGAAGCAGAGAAAGCAGTATGTGTTGAGATGACCTGTCTTTTCTGGTTGTATTCACTATGGATCCCATCATGAGCATAATGCGGCACGTTCTACCATTTTTGCCTTTACGCAAAACTTGGAACTGACTGCGCTGGTGTTCTAGTCCATTTGAATACATGGAAAACGCTTTGCATGCATTTCTGTTGATGAAAAAAGGCTCTGGACAGCATTTGGAAGTGGAACAATTAAAAAATGCTTCTCATTGCAAACGCTTATAAACACGGTTAACTGCGTTTACAAGCATTTACAAGCTTTGGCGTTTGAAACGCTGATAAAATGTAATCCTGAACGAAAGTTTGGTGCATTCAAAAAAACGACTGTAAACTCAACTGTCTGTAAACAACTATGAGTACATGGACACATAGGAAAACATTAGGGAGAGTTCAGGGGCTGCTGAAAAATACACAGAAAAGCTCCTGAACTTAAGTTTATCAGCTGCAGTGTACATGAACCCTAAGTGTATATGTAGGGAGCATTCAAGTCACAATTTTAGCAATGTTCCATCAGATTTGACTTGTAAATAACACAGCAGTATACATCAAAGATCACAGCTACGCTCTGATATATGTGTGAGCCCAAATTAAAAACACTTCAAATGATTCTCACCTTACAAAAAAAAACTTGACTTGTAATGAGCAAGAAGAAAGAACACGGTGCAAAAAACTGCTGAGACTTATCACCTTTCTCTTCACTGCCTTTTCTAAAACCGAGGAGATGTGATAGCAAGTAAGCTGGCAGGGTCTCGTAAGGTAAACATATCTGCGGGTCTCCACATCACACAAGATGTGATAACCACAGCCATTTTCCGTAATTTCCTTTCACATATTGCAACAAAACTGTAAATAAAAAAGCCAACAAAGCAACACAATCACCTGTTTGTATGATTATTATTCATTCTTTGCAGGTTTTCTGTAATTGCCATTATTTACAGTATATGACAGCCTTTGGGCAATTCTGCATCATCATAGCAGTCTAAACTGTGCAGCCATAAAGCTGTGGACGTATGTTAGTGTAGCACCCCTCTGACACCCCAAAGGCAGGATATCACCTCCAGAGGCCAGGAGCGAGCTATCATTTCACCCCAGGGCATAGCTGCTAACATACCCAAAAAATATTTAGGGACATCTTTGTTTGCCGCGTGTCCAACGAGCCATTGTAGGCGGAGCATGTGCTTTAATTAGGGGCTGGCATTCTTTTAAAATGGGAGTGGTTCTACAAGAAGCATATCATGAACATATTAATGTGTTTGTTGCAGACATTTGTAGTAGCTTCTACCCTCAGGGGCTCAAAGTCTTGATATAACTTCTCAGATATTGGAGGAACTACATGTCCCAGCATTGTCATTTATTCCACTGACCACCAGCACAAGGGGCAAAGTTCCTCTGACCACCAGCACAAGGGGGCAAAGTTCCTCTGACCACCAGCACAAGGGGGCAAAGTTCCTCTGACCACCAGCACAAGGGGGCAAAGTTCCACTGACCACCAGCAAAAGGGGGCAAAGTTCCACTGACCACCAGCACAAGGGGCAAAGTTCCACTGACCAACAGCACAGAGGGGCAATGTTCCACTGACTACCAGCACAAGGGGGCAAAGTTCCACTGCCCACCAACACAAGGTGCAAAGTTCCACTGCCCACTAGCACAAGGGGACACAGTTCCACTGACTAACAGCACAAGGGGGCAAAGTTCCACTGACCACCAGCACAAGGTGCAAAGTTCCACTGATCACCAGCACAAGGGGGCAATGTTCCACTGACCACCAGCACAAGGTGCAAAGTTCCACTGGCCACCTGCACAAGGGGACAAATTTCCACTGACCACCAGCACAAGGGGTCAAAGTTCCACTGACCACCAGCACAAGGGAACAAAGTTCCACTGACCACCAGCACAAGGGGGCAAAGTTCCACTGATCACCAGCACAAGGGGGCAAAGTTCCACTGACCACCAGCAGAAGCTAACATCTTGTGTTAATAAAAATGAAAGTATTAAAACTCACAGCCAGTCCAATATATATATATCCTTGGCAGTGCACTGGCTGGCCATGCAAAAGCTCGCTAATGAGTCGCAGCTCGTGACGTGATAGCCTGGCACCACTACTTCTTTCTGAGCATGCACATGGCAGCTATGTGCGCTGTTATCCGATGCTTGGCTGCTGGGTGTGATGCTGGGGTAACTTGGCTCGGGTGTGGATAGAGAGGGCTCTGCATGCCTGCTGCAGCATGTGTGCCTTAGGTTCGCCATTTTCCAGAAGCACAAAGTCCCTCAACATGTTCTCTGTGGAGGCATGTTGAAACATTGTGGTCATGCTGCAACTTGTAGTTCCTTAGCAGCAGCTTCTTCTCACTGGCCCTCCTGCTCACATCCTTCTGGTTGTTATTTTAGCAGCTAATTATAGGTGAAAAGGTTTCAGCTTTGCTGGAGACGAGGAATGTCAGATAACAGGCACAGGGTGTCATGGGAAGTCCTGCAGAAGCTCAGCATGAAGTGGACATTTCTTTACCTTATAGGAAGCCTAGCAAGCAATCATTTTGACAGCAGTGGGCAGCGGTACCAGCCGCATTTGTCCTGTATCCCGTGATTTGGGGCTGGGACAGCTACAGATTGGACTCTACTTCTCAGCAAACCTAGAGCAAATAAAAAAATAAAAAACATTCCCTTGTCCTCATTTGTTTATGTGCAGGGGGGGGGGGGGGGCTGAGGCAAAAAGGGGACTATTTTTTCAATTTTTGGGTGCGGCAGAGTGATCTTTATACTCTGCTGCACCCGAAAATGGAAAAATAGTCCCCTTTTTGCCTCAGAATTTTAAATTTTTTTCATTGCTCTTTGTTTACTGAGAAGTAGGGAGTCCTATCTGAAGCTGTCCCCATCCCCAGCCCTGATCCCAGATTCTGGGGCACAGGCCAGAACTGAGCAATGGGGGGACAGACTTAAACAAAAATTGTGTCTGTCCTGGGCAATCCATGACAATTGGCAAGTATGCCAGGGCTGAGTCCATGGCTAAAATGGAGGGACCGAGAAAGGATATTGGGCGCCTTTCACTTTTGTCTTTTTAAAGCTTTATTGCAGAACATTTGAGGTGAGGGTTACGGGGCCCATATATTTGTAGCGCTAGCCCCTTTAGGGTTGCTTAGTAATTTTTTGGGTTCCCTGTCAAACTGAACCTTTTGTTGAAAGCCCAACCTCTGACACCACTGTTCTCTCATGACAACTGTAAGATGGACTCACACACAAGTTAGGATAAACCAATATGAAGTTTATATTGGAATTTAAGGTAGATTGGTCACAAAGAACAAAATGACACTAATAGCTAATAGTGTAAATATTACTCTTGGCAGCTGTGAGCAAAAGTAATAACATTCACAGTAAACTAACAATATTTGTTAGTAGGCCTGCTTTTGGAAATAATCCACTCCAAACTAAGATGACTGCTGAATCCCCAGTGAGCAGAAAACAACTATCAAGAAACAAGTAAACTTGCTGTGGGTCCTCAGAACTAGATGACAAGGATTAGATGTGAAGGAAAGAGAATTCTTATTTGAAATTGAGCACTGTCCCTTTAAGAACACTACAATGTCTTCTGCACGCTCGTTGGGGCCCAGTTGGAATAAAGTTGAGCTGAGGTGTGGAATATAGTTCCTTGGGATGGTAACACAAGAATAGTGAAGGAACAAGGGAGATTTACCACTTAGGGTGGGGTCTCCTTTAAATCACTAAATATGGGCAGGCCATGGAATAATGAATAGCAACAACTGGCATAAATGTCTATAGGCAAGGACAGCTCCCTCTGTACATCAAAAGCAAAAATCAACAGTAATGGGAATCCTACTTTGTTGAAGAAGGGATACTCATTGTTTCAGTTGGCACTGCTGTATCCTGGTCTGCAACTGTACAGCCTGAGATCAGCTTGTACAATAAACTGTATTGTTGATGTATCTCAACAATGGAAGAGCAGGGCCCTCGAACCCCTCGTGTGTTGTTTTGTTACTGTACTGTCCCCCACTATAATGTACAGCACTGAGCAAACCTTTTGGCGCTATATAAATACTGTAATAATAATAATAATGGGAGCTGGGAGAACTAGGCCACAAACTGAGGCAACTATATGTAATGTTCACAACTATGTGTAAGCAGATAGCTGAGCTGGCAAACTGACAGTATTCACTTGATTAGTGGGTGCATGGGTCTCTCTCACCCGATCATAGTAGTCCAGCAGATCGTAGTGGTCTGTCTTTCTCTGCAAATAGGGTCAGTCTGCAAACTCTCTGGCTCAGACTCAGCGTCCCGTCTGGTCTCCTGCTGTCAGATTGGCCTGCTGGGCAACGTGGCAGACCGGGTGGTCACTAGTCTCTTTCTGGCCTTCCTCTCTCCAATCTTGGCTCTGCGGCCTAGTTCAGCACTACAGCCATCAGCACTCCTCCTCTCCCTGCACTCTTCTGGACAATCTTCCGGGCTTTGATATTTATATGCCCCCACCCACACGCTACCTACCCCTCCTGACTGCCCTGCTCACCAGCTGAGTTCTGCTGTGTAGCATACAAGTTCAAGAGAGCTGTTCTGTCCTTGTGAGTGACCCTGAATGGATCAGAT